CACCATGAGTTGAGATTGACTCAAGGGCAGTTAACAACAACAAAAGCTGTTATCATGAGGCTTCCACACTGTTAGGTGCTAGACAAGCTGGCACTAAACTGCATTATTACCAAACTAGTAAGCCAAGTGGCTATCAAGTGCTCAACATAGCTAAGGCACTGTGCACTGTTACAAGCCACAGCTGCACCATCACAAAATAAACCTAAGCACCCACCTATTAATTCACCTCAGGTAGCATCCATGAAGGGCAACCTTGCAATCCATCACCAAGCTTTCCTTTCTGATTTTAGTTTATGAATCAGTACATTTGAAAGCTTTCTGCTCAGTATTCAATTACTTTGTACTCCAAGAATTTGTAGAACAGTAGTGGCTATCTTAGAAGCTGTGGCCCTCCAGATGTTTCCCACAATTCTTTATTACTGGCTTGGCTAATAAGGGATGATGAGAGTTGCAGTCCAACATCTGGAAGCTCACACAGTTCATAGCCGTCTTGCAGCGACACTTGAATGAGGCACTATTATTTAGTACTGAACTGAAGCACTGGATCATGTTTCCCAAACACTTCCTCTCCATGCCCCCCCTTGGACAGTGTTGGATGGGAGACTGCCAATGAATACCAGATGCTGTAGGCTATATTTCAGAGTAAGGAACTGAGCATTACTTGCCTAAGAAAACCCTATGAAATTAATGGGTTCACCATAGGTTGGCAGGTGTCTTGAAGGCACACCAACACAATGCAAAGAATCTTGTAGCACCTTTGAGACTAAGAGAAAGAAGTTGGTAGCATAAGCTTTTGTAAACTAGTCTCCATCATGGAGCGTGGAGTGCCTAGGAACAGGCCTTTATAGGTGTGAATGAGCAGATTGTGCACACGCAGATGGTTGGTGTTTGTGTGGCCATTTTCTTGCCTCTCCCTCCCCTCAATAGCCGTCACTTTAATTGTACAGAAGTTCTAGCGAGTTCCCCATGCCACCACTGCCCCCAGCCCTGAAAAGACAACCTTTGATTCAAAACTTGACCTTAGCCCTAACAACAGCAGTAGAGGCCCGACTTTGGAAAGAGACCGATCTGAAAAGTACAACAGAAACTGATCTGGTCTGAAAGTCCTAGCAATGGCAAAGAAAATGTCATATTTCTATTTGATCTTAGATCCTAGTGTAGAGGGGGAAAATGTAACCCAGGGGCTCATGTGGGCCCCAAAACCTCTTTTGCTGCC